CAGAGCTGAAAGAACACACCTGCTCCAAGAAAGGAATAAACAAGAACATCTTTACCACCTTTAGTGTCTTCCGTCCAATTATGAGCCACCTGCAATTATAATTAACAAAATAATAATTAAAGTCTGCATTAGGCTGAGTGGTCCATGCAGCCAGAGGTTATCCTGGTTTCCATAGCAATAAGCAACTAGGAGCGTATCTGCTCCCTTGGATGGAATACTGGTCCATCACAGGATTGGACAAATAAACCATTTTTGTACTCTCCGTTTTCAATATTAGAGGTTCATGTGGGGAAGATCATTAAAAAGGGATGTCCTTTCCATTTGAAAAGACTCCTCCTGCCTCAGTCACAAGCTAGTCCCAGTCCAACACTGATAATATGAAAATGGTCAATTGCCAGTACATATGTATACACCAGGCCCCAGTTTTTCAAAGGCTGGATAACACTATCCACCAGATAAATTGCTATCCAGTGGAGAGGTGTTAACAAAACAAACCACACTTTCCACTGAATAGTGATTTATCTGGTGGATAGCATTATCCACCTTTCAAACAACCTGGGCCTAGGTGAAGAGAGCTGCATTGTAAGAGTAATTAAAAGTAAGTCTAGAGTAATTCATATACAGTTCAACCCCGCCATATCAAACTCTCTGGGGAAACAAAAAATAATTTGAAATAGCAGGAGTTTGAAATAGCTGATAGCAAATGACTGATGACCAATTCCAAGGGAAATGGTTTTAAGTTCAAAATAACTGGGAATTCAAAATAACCGAGTTTGAATTAGCGGGGTCCAACTGTACAATGTTTCTTATTTAAAAATATGTCAAATAAATACAAGACAGTGGGCAAACATACCTTATTTATTCTGTAGATCAAATAAGCAGGCTCTACAAAACTGAGAGGGATAAATATCCACACCAGGATCATCATCTCTCTCCTCATCTGAAAAGCAGGACTCTTTAAAATACTGTTTTCACACCTAGAGCTTTAACACGCTAGTATTGAACATGTATTCAATGTGCAAAGAAAGTCATGTCTAGAGGATTTTGCAATTCAGCCAGCAGATGTTGTCCCAGCTGCTTGCCCAACAGGCAAGTGAAGTTTGTGGGGAAAAAAACATTAGAGAAAATTCAAATAACAGATTGAAGTACTGCAAGTGATATCTGTTCTTTTTGCACTCTTGTACTGTATTAATAGCTTCTGGGGATGCTACTACTCAATAATTTGCATTTTGGAAGTAAAGCCTTGCAGGCTCACCAAAAAACTCCAAATTCATAATTTAATAATAATATTATAATAGCAAAATACTAACCACTGAAGTGTCTTTAAGTGAGGTAAACATTATTTCAAACACAGCAGTTTTCACTTGTATGAGTGTCAAAAGTAATTCGACCGCACTTGCTTTCCATTGGTATAATTGCATTCATATGCTAAGCGACTGGCTTAAAAGAATTTGTTCCACTTTGTCATCCAATTAGAAGTGAAACCAAATGCAATGGTGACTCACACGACATTTCCACACTTTGCATCAGCAACATGTATAAATAACTTGGAGTTTGATTGGTTCAGTGTATTGTCTGACTATGTCCTTTGTGACTGGCTAGAGTGATTACTTTGATTTTGGTTTTACAATTTACCGAATTGAAAACTGCTCTATCGCAAAGTCAAGTTCATTGAGGGTCGTACACTGAGGGGATCTCTGGCATGCTTCACAAATGAAAAAAAAGGCAATCACAGATCATGGATATGAAAATTTCATTTTCCTGAAACACGAAAATAAGCAAGTAAGATACTGTTTTTCATAACCTGTTCTTACACTAGAAAGAGTGTTTCAAGTCAAGGCTCCATATTGCAAAATCGTATTACCTTAGTCGCTCACGATAGATGATTCTAGCCATTCAGAGAACTCGCATCTCAAAATCACGAAGAATAGAGTGGTGAAATCAAGAATACCAGTTAATAATTCAAGTTACTCACAGGTTACGCAAAACCTTCAGGTCACAGATCACAAAGAATTTCCTAAATTCATGTTTCACAGAAAATAAAATCAGCTAATCACGTATCACAAGAATACCCCTGTACGACCCTCTTCATTGCAGGTTCTTTTTGATACTTACCGCACACCAGCCCAAGATGCTCCAAGCAAGCTGGAAAGGAACACCCACACCCACTGTGACTTTATCGCGCAGTTCAAGATCTGTCACATTCATAATTACAAACACAGCCAAACTGACCTGCAGACAAAACAGAATTATTATAAACATATTCAAACGTTTTGTGATTAATTGACAATTAATGCCAGTTTGAATCCTCTGTATTTACTATAATATTTTGTTATGTGCACAAAACTTTGCACTTGATGGCAAAACCATACCCAAGTCATAATATATTGCTGATTGAACAGAGGAATATATCAATTCCTACTGAATTCAATGATGCTGATTGGTGAAGAGGCGAGGAGACAATCAGCTACATTAGTGTAAATAAGACATAGAAAAGGCTCTTGGAAGAGTCAAATATAGTAGCTGGTTTCAACTCTAAACGTTCTGTTTTATGCTCATTTCTACTGATTTTAAACACAGTAAGGCCTGGTTCACACTAGCGACATAATGACATACTAAATGACATCTAACAACACAATGACAAAACTGTAATCACTTATGTCAGTAATGTGAAACATCGACCTACAGACATAAGGGAAAAGATCAGTTGTTTCTCTCCTTATGCCTTTATGTTCATGTTGTTATGTTGCTATTGTGTCATTATGTCAGGATGTTCACACTGCAAAATATAATGACATAACGTCTTTCTTTTTTTATTATGTTTATTTCAAATTAAGTTGTTAATGTCACTACTGTGAACCAGGCTTAACTGCTTCAAACAGCCAAGTAGCACTCCGTTAGTTTAAATAGCACTGACTTACAAATGGTTAGCTACTACCTAAAGGTAAGTTACATTTAACATGACATCGAGACATTTGAATTCAGCTTGACGGTAAACCTGCACACTAAATATTAGCCCAGTGTCCCCTTTCAACCATCGGAAATCTTAGCACATCTGTGAAAACATTTGACAGTCAGGGTTCAAACATACAGTGTTTATAACCACAGGAATCTATAAAAAAATAACAGAGCTCAACAGCAGTTACAATTAGAGCAACAGACTGCACTTGTAAAATATATCAAAGCAAACTCACTGCAAGTTGAAGATCAAATTTAAGAAGACATGAGTACATCCCAGCATTTCGGTACATTTCTGGAATACAAGCAGAGGTAAAAAAAAAAGCTTTTAATATGAGAAACAGAATGTATAAGCCAACTGATCAACTATGAAAATAACAGTGGAAGTCTAATTTTTTTAAATAGTTCAAGACATAACAATCAGTACACAATAATGGCAAGATAAAACTTCCCTGTTTCAGTCTATCTGTATGTCTGTCTAATTAATTCTTTCTTCCTTCCTTCCTTCCTTCCTTCAATAAATTATTTCTTAACCACCCTGTTTCTCTCCCCCTTCTTGCTCTTCTTGTAGAATTACTGTAATTTTCTTCCTTCTTCTCTTTTTTTCCTCCTTCCCTACTACCTCCCTTACTTGCTTCCTCGTTCTACCTCTCCAATTCTAGTCTTTCTTTCTTCCTCTTTCAATTAAGGATTAAAAGATTTGTCAGATCAGACATCTTGGGTTAGAAAGCTTGATGTTTTATCAATCCAACCTTAGAAATCAGGTAAACAAACCAAACTTTCAATTTCCTGAGGCAACCCTATTAATGTGAAAGAATGTAAGACCTTATCTCAGTGCATCAGACCATACTCCTGGAAGAACTGAAGACATAAATATATTTGCAACAAAAAAACCTCACATACTGTGTAATTCCTCTGAAGCTCCGATAGTCTTGAAGGCCAAATACCCAAAACCCTGAGCAACCTTGATGACAAAGTAGATGTTTATAGAACCAAGAAATACAATTGCTGCAAATCTCACCTGTTAAAACAAATTTGGAAAAATAAGTGTCTGAATGGAAGATATGAAGGGTATGGCTGGTATACAGGTGGGATGACAGACACACAGTTGAACAGACAGTCAGTTAGTCAGACACACAAGATAGGCAGATACACAGACACACAGACAGGTGGGTAGACAGACAGGAGAACAGATGCACATTCAGATAGGCAGACACACAAGACAGACAGATGCACAGACAGACAGGAGAACAGATACAGATAGACAGACAAACAGACAGACTAACAGAATGATAGATTGACGGACTGACAGACAGACAGACAGACAGACAGACAGACTGACTGACTGATTGACTGATTGACTGACTGACAGACTAACAGACTGACTGACTGACTGACTGACTGACAGATAGACTGAGGGACAGACAGGTGGATGGACTGAACGAGAGCAGTTACTTAAAACATGAGTTTAACAGTGCACTGGCATGTAGCCGGGCAAATATACCAAAGGTTGGGAGGAACATCATATGGATGGGGGAATTCAAAAAGCTACAAGCAGACACCTCCCTGGACACAGACACTTGGTCATCACTGGTCCCAGCACCATACCAAGACTACATCATTACTCTTCCATACACAGACAGCTCTCCTAAGACAAACTTTATCATAGTCTCAAGGGTGTCTACTGACATACATGTAAGGTTTGAGTGTACAATTAACTACATTTAGACTGTACTCACCCATTTCAGAGTTGTTCGGGAATTGACACTGAGATCAATAATAATATAACATGAGAGCACGAGGATTCCCACCATATAAGCATACAGCTCGAATTCCCGTTCCCTCAAAACACCATGAACTGCATAAAACAGACAGAAACCTGCAGAAAAAGGTTGAAGTTAACGGTTCAAGAACCATTCTTCTACATGTAGAAGACATCATAATTTATTGTTCATCTCTAGAGTGTGATCATCCAGGTATCAATGAGGGTAACATAATTTCTGAAAAGACTACTGTTGGCAACTTCATGCAGACATCCACAATAAACAAACCACCAGATGAATACCCATCCACTCAAGCCACTTACTGAAATGTTTTTTTTTCCAGTTAAATGAGATTATCAATAATCAAAGTTAACTAGGAGATCTGCTGTTGGCCAGCGGACGATCGCCACGGGCATGCATAGTTGTGTCATTGCTGTGTAGTTTTGCCCTCGTGGTCTTGCTCTGCCTAGCTCTGTCCCTTTGCCTTTGGTTTGCCCCCTCCCACCCGTCTCTTGGTTCATGGTGGACCCTTGTGTCCAGGTAAGTATACATACTCATTCTCTACTGAGAATTCAGTGTGACAGATGCCAGGGGGAGGTGACCCATGGGTTGCCCCCTTTATTTGCATTTTGCCCACACTCGCTTGCTCATTGCCTGCTTTGTTGTCATTTGGCACCTACCCTCCATTTTGAATATTGCTTATCGACAAGTTAATATCAAATGACAAGGACATGCTATTGATCTCATATGACCCCTTCATGAATGGTTAAAACACTGATCACACTGTCTAGTCTACTGGCTTCATTCTACGGTTTCAAAAATTGGTTACCAGGGGTTTTATTAACATTTTCAGCAGGAGTGCTACTGGTTTTCACAGGCAGGTAAAACTATTTGAACTGAATTTCTTGATAAGAAAAACCTTTCATTAGATAGACGTCAAACCAATTGGGCAAAATAGTCCTTGCAGCCAGTCAATTTGCAGGGTGCCTGGCCCTTAATGAAACCCCTGGGTCAACCATACAAGTAACAAGAATAACCGTCATGTGATCATTATTTTTTGAAGCCATGGAATAAGAGGAGTTGTACATACATGTAAGTTAAACTTAGCAGGCTGAAATCTAAGCCTTGTAATGAAAAAGAGAAAGATAAACCCCAAGCACATGTAAAACATGAACTGCACTCTTCCCCAGGCCACAAAGTTAACAAGAATGTATTAAGGATCACATTAACTAGGGAATATGTCGTGGGGGTGTGAAGAGACAACAAGCTCCTCATCTGTATGCGTAGGATGCACATTACTGAGGCAGTATGCAAGCTGGTGCACACAAAGAAAATATTGGTTCATTTCTATGTTGTAACAGGGACAGTTTACAAGAGCAGTGCATATATATCTTGTAGTTCAAAATGAAATTCAGGTTAAAATGATTTTAACCTCGTGTGATTCTCAATTTCATTTGTCTTCTAACCCCAATTATTCATGATCCATGAATAATTAGGGTTAAGAGACAAAGGAATTTCATTTTAACCTGAATTTCATTTTGACCTACAACACATACGATGCAACATCTAAA